GAGGTGAAATATAAACAGTTGAGTATTCAATGGTTTCATCTGATGAACAAAGAGGAGGTGAACATATGGAGGTTGCAACCTCTGTGATTAATGAATCAATTTCCTGATTTTGCTGTTCTGAAGTACTTTTACATTTGGCCTGGCTGTACTATCGGCTCAATTTGCTTTAAACAGAATGAAGATATACTGTTTAGCAGAAAGTGGATTGGGATATCCTGTTTTAATTGGCATACCATATGTTATGAGCTCACTAAAGATTGATGGAATAGTGGTTGATAAATTATGATTACTCCAATATTGATTTTTGCTACTAATGATATTCAAATTTATGGATTTTATTTTTCATTTTTTAATTTTATTAATTTATTAATTTGTTATTAATTTTTTCTTTATTTTTCAATCAATTTTCTCAAAACCAACAGTTCTTTCCAGAGAATGCCTTTAGAATGTTGGTTTCGTTGGTTGAACTTCAGATTAGAACAGAGCTATATAGTGCTGAGCCACAAGGCTGGATTCGGAGGTGAATGCTCATCAAGGTCACGTGCTGGTAATTGGATTGTGGCTTGAAAATACAACTTCCTCCAGAACCAACTGAGACTGATCTGGAGCATAAACATCTTGGGAATTTCATCTAGTTCTCGCTGTTTTTCACTTCTTATGCTCCCGGACTGCACTGCTGATCAGAATTTAATCCCAGAGCAGATAGAAGTTACTCAAGCAGTCTGGTAGCGTTGTATTGCGATGCTGGAAAAACGTCAAATCCCTAGATTTATATACTCTTGATACGGTTTATTGTGTGTTGAAGAAAGTACTTGATCAAATCAGAATTTTGAAAGAGGTTGTTATTAACTTGCGCTTGTAACTTGCACTTGTAACTTGCGCTTTCTACAGAATAATTTCTCTGTTTCTATTTCATTAGCACATGAAAATTACCTGCCTTCTTTTGGCATTTATTTCCAGTCGCACGCCGAGTTTTCGCAAAACTCTTTGACATTTGCTTCATCTTGTATATGTTTTCTTTTATTTTTTATCCGTACTGGAGATAATTGTTGGTTTCTTTTGCTGATTTTCTCGTTCCGAAACAGGTCTCAACAATTTTTCATCACCGATTTTATTATTTTCAAATGCCATGACTAAATAAATAAGAATATAAATACAAAACCTTCTTCCTATTTTATTCAACATTTTCAATTTTCCCTATAACTTGGAAATGAAGATCACCGACAAACTATTAAAAGCTCATTCAAACGATTATTCTTTTGCTCAAACCAATGGCATCCAACATTTGAACCTAAACGATCAAACTGATCAAACTGATCAAAATGATCAAAATGATCAAAATAAAAACAGTAAAGAATCTTCGTCATCATCTTCTTCAATATTTTCGTCTCTAATCGAAAAAAGTGACCTGTACCAAAACAATAATCATTACAACCACACCACTTTTTCATTCGAATTTTTCCCACCAAAAACCTCTCAAGGTGTTCAAAATCTCTATGATCGAATTGATAGAATGTACAATTTGAATCCTTTATTTATTGATATCACCTGGAATGCTGGTGGTAAAGTATCAAAGTTAACCAATCAAATAGTTAACGTTACCCAATCAATTTTAGGTCTAGAAACCTGTATGCATTTAACTTGCACAAACATGTCAATAGATTTAATTGACAATGCTTTATTAAATGCCTATAGCTCGGGTTGTCAAAATATTCTAGCTTTGAGAGGTGATCCACCCATCAATGATAACAACAACAATTCAGATTCTAGTGCTTTTGATAACGGAAAATTCAAATACGCTAAAGATTTAATCAAATACATTAGGTCCAAATATGGTGATTATTTTTGTATTGGTGTTGCTGGTTATCCTGAAGGTCACCCAGAAGAAAGTGACTCAGCTGTTTTGTTATCTTATTTGAAACAAAAGATTGATGCTGGTGGTGACTTTATTATAACTCAAATGTTTTATGATGTCGATAATTTTCTCAATTGGTGCAATGTCCTAAAAAATGACTGGAAAATCAGTGTTCCAATTATCCCCGGTATTATGCCAATTTCAACTTATTCGTCTTTTATAAGAAGAGCCACATGGAGCCATATTAATATTCCTGATTCCTTTCTATCAGTTTTAAAGCCTTTTAAAGATGATGATGCTAAAATTAAGGAATTAGGTGCAGAGTTGATCACTGAAATGTGCCGAACTTTAATTGACTCCAATTTAGTAAATCATTTGCACTTTTATACAATGAATCTTGAATCTTCTACGATATCAATTTTAGAAAAACTAAACTTACTAAATAATTTCGTTATTAATAATTCTGATAATAATGAAAATGACGATTATTTTCCATGGAGAAAATCTCTTAATCCTTCAAGATCAACTGAATCAATCCGTCCAATTTTTTGGCAAAACAAAAAATTTAATTATTTCATTCGAACCAAAAATTGGGACGAGTTTCCCAACGGCCGTTGGGGAAATTCAAACTCGCCAGCTTTTGGTGAAATCGACTTATTTAATGGTTCATTATTAAGACACTCATCAAACAAAATATTAAAACTATGGGATAGACCAACTTCTTTAAACAACCTTATCCAATTATTCATTGATTACTTAAATGGTAAGTTATCAATGCTACCTTGGTGTGATTCCCCAATTAATTCACTGGAAATTTCCGATTATTTAAATAATTTAATTGATTTAAACTTTAAAGGAATTTTAACAGTTAACTCTCAACCAAAAATTAATGGGGTAAAATCCACTTCCAAAATTCATGGTTGGGGTCCAAGAAATGGATTCATTTATAAAAAACAGTATTTGGAATTTTTCTTACCAAAAACCCATTTGAACAAATTAATTAATAAAATCCAAACATGTAACGATATTTTAAATAACAATAATTCAAATTATAACATCAGCGGTAAAAATAATAACAATAAGAATGATGATTATAATATTCTATCTTTTTTTGCCGTTGATAATTTAGGAACTTTCTATTCAAATCTAAAGGACCTATCCAAAGCAAATGCTGTAACCTGGGGTATTTTTCCAAACTGTGAGGTAATTCAACCAACAATTGTTGAAAAGGTGTCATTTTTGGCTTGGAAGGATGAAGCTTATAAATTGACCGAAGAATGGTTACTGATTTACAAAAACCAAAATTCTCAAATTGATATTAATAAAAATGAAAATGAAAAAATTTATGAAGATAATTTAAAATCCCAAAAAGTTTTAAGAAATTTGATTGATAATTATGTTCTAGTTAATATCGTTGATAATGATTATGTTGGTAATGAAAAAATCTTTTCATTATTCGATGATTTTAATTGTTTAGAAGAATAATGGTGATGTTAATGAAAACACCAAAAACAATAAAGTTCAACCTTTTCAATTTTTTCCCACTGATTTTGCTTAATGGTCTTTCAAAATATTTATAAATTACGATTAAAAAAAAAATTTTTCTCTCTTTTATTGCTTTTTATTGTTTTCATTTTTCTTTTAATCTTTTCTTATCTTTTGTTTTTGTTTCCAGTTTTTTGACTTATTTTGGTTTTAGTGATGATGGAAGTTCAACCTGCATTTTTATTTATATAATAAAGACAATAATGAAAATATTGAATTTAAAATTTTTTTTATTAAAGTTCAACCTGCATTTTTTAAAGTTTTTAAAATAATTTTTAAATTTTCTTTTATTCTTCAAGGTTTCTAGTTTTCTTTTTAGGTTTTTCATTATTGAAAGACAATTAAACTAGTCTCTTCTTTCCTTATTCTCTTTTTCCTTTTTAATTTTTAATTTTTTTAAATTTTTTAAATTTTTTTAAATTTTTTAAATTTTTTAAATTTTTTACATAGTTTTGTTAAAAAAAAGTTCAACCTGCATTTTTAAGATAGAAAATATTAGTACAACATAAAAACTATAAAAATAATGATAAATTCGATAATTTAAATTTGATTTGAAAACTCATGTATTTTCATTCTCTATAAAGAATAATTTCACTTTGTTTAAAATAACGTCTTGAATCTTCATCAATTAGAACTAAGCTCAAAAAAGTTCTTACTGAAAATTTTTTATTCACATCTCTAAAAGTTGGAGTTAAATCAAAACCACCTAAAAATAATCGGATTGGAATTGCTTCTCCTCTAACAGGAGCACCATCCATAATTTCAAATCTGACTAAAGTCTCTGAATTTGAAAACTGATTTGGAGGAGTGCCAATGGACTCTCTTTTTATTAGGGATAACTCCATATGTTTAATTTTTAAACGAACTAGTAAAAAATAAATTCTGCCAACTATGACGTCCTTCAATGAATATCTTGATTTTGAGTATTCAAATTCAATGTGGAGACAATCTTCTATACCCACATCCATTTTAACACTGGATGGCGAGTCTGGGGGAAATTGGTGATTATAGACCCATAATTCCTTTTCACGGATTATGTTTGAGGAATTTTTTCGTAAGACAATACATTTTAAATAATAACGCAAGTTAACATTTAAACCTCTATAGCTTTCAAACTGTTTTTCAACATTTTTAAATTCAAAATGATAATTTTCAGGATGGTTTAAGGTGGCAGGAGCAGATAATTCTTGTAATAAGTATAAAAAATTATCGTTATTATTATTTAAAGTTAAATTTGAATTATTGGAATTAGAGGCATTATTGTTGGAAGAGGAATTTGAGTGCGTTTCAATAGTTCCAATCAATTGAATTTTTATCCCTAAGTGATCCAATTTATTGTTATTTCTCAATCTAATTGTTACTTGACCTTTAACTGATTCACCATCTTCATATAGGGGCAATTTTTCTTTTCTTCCCTTTCGATTTTTAACTTCAACATGTTGACGAGAGTCTTCATTATCAAGTCTGACTTCAATGTCTATAGGACTTTTGAAAAACAATGACATTTTTATAAATAAATCGATCAGAAATAATTCTCAAGAGCGAAAGAGTGTGGGAGAATAAGGCTTATCAAAAGGTCAGATGGCAAGTTTTGGTGATGTGGAAATCCAAAAAGAGAAAAAAAGAAGGCCAGGTTCTTGAACGGAACAAGCCCATTGGGGCTGGTGGTTAAGGTGTGTGGCGGTGATGCCAAAAGAGAAGGCAGTTCTGATTGTGATTTGAAGAGCTTTCTTCACCGAGAATTACAAAGTACTTCAAAACTAGCTCCGGGCTGGGATTTTTGATAAGTGTAGAAGATGTTTGTGAGCTGGATGAGCTTTTTTCGCTGTTTGTACACAGTCGTGCTCTGGCTCTGCAACCGGTGGGACTGGGACGTTTTGACAAACCGAGGCTTGAACTGCTGCAAAAACCACTCTTCAAGCGGGAGCATTCCTGCCTTGTGTCCGAAAAAAGCCAGCACGACTGCCATGCCTCTGCCCAGCGTGTTTATTGGCTGGATTGAATAGACCCATACATCAAGCGATGTTTTTGCTGTATTACTAATTCAAATCAAACTAACATATGGTGCACTATGTGTTGCAAACAATATAAATACATCCAGGTTTCCTCCACTAATTCTGGCTTTTCGATTCTATTTTCACTATTATCTCTAAGATCTTTATAGGATACCTTGCTTACGAAATTAAATCTGGTGTTGATTAGATATGTCTTGTTCTTGTGTTTGCTCTAGTTCTGGTCCTGGTAATTCATTGGAGGGCTCTTCCTGTGGTAAGGCTAAGCCAGAGGTTCTCTCTAATGTTGTTGATTGCTGCAAAAACTGCTGTGAACTGATTTGCGATGATAGCTCAGCTGGCGAGAAAGAAAAATGTGCTGAAGTTTGCAAAAAATTGTGTGCTGAATGTTGTCAAAAATGCTTTGAAAAATGTTGCAACAATTCATCAAATGAAAAATTCCAAGAGTTTTGCGATAACTTCTGCAAAGAGTTTTGTGAAAAGTTTTGTAGCAGTTACAACAATCTTTCAAAGGATTCTGTTCAAGACTTTTCTCAAAAGTTCTGCGACGAATTTTGCAACGAATTTTGCAATGATTTTTGCCAAAAATATGGTTAGCCGGTTGATATATGATTATGTTAAAGTACTTAATTATTGTTTTTTGTAATTTAATAAATATCAAAACTAAAAATTATAGATCAAAGCGAGTTTGCGTAATTAGATCTTGAAAATGAAGAATTTGCATTTTATTTTTTATTATCTTGATTATTTCCCTCTTTTTAAAAACTTTCAAGTTATGATATATGGATAAGGCCTAATTCAACTAAACAGACTATTGAAACTGATAGAATGATAGCTGTATTCAATATTCAAATTGGTTGGGTTTGGTGATATTTTAATACAAATGTTGTATCGATATGAGTATGATATATTAATAGCTGGACAGGTGGGGTAACAATGGTTCCATTTGAACCAAAACGAATTTTTATAGAAAACAATTATTTAATTAAAAAAATATCATTTCATAACTTCAATATTCCCTATTCAAGAATCAGTAGAATTCAATAAAACCAAGTGTGGCAATTGGTTGTTGGTTTGTCTTCAAAACCAATTTAGGATGGTTTTGAAAAGCCTAGCATGAGGAACTGGATACCAAAAACAACCAGCTTTCAAGAAAGGGTTCGATGATAAAACAAAACATTTTTGTTTTAGAGCTGCTGAACTGTATTGGCAACATATCCATTGCAATATTTCTATTAAAATTGCTCTGCTTCAAGCAGGATCTTGAAGAAAAGTGTCTTTAAAGTTTGGTTCTTTGAAAATTATGCGTTTAAATGTGTAGTTACGCCTATAGTGTTACCCATCATCCAGCATTGTGTTTTTGGTTTTGTTTCCGTTTCGATATCGTAGTAGAAACAGCACAAACAGCAAAGTAAGCAAAAGCAGCAGTGGGTTATAAACGCTGCTTGTGATTCAAAAAGTACCAAAAAGTAAACCATGTTATTTGATTGGTTGTTTTTTGTGTTGTAACCTGATAATGCAACAAGTGTGATATCAGGCTTCGAGTAGCTGTGTATTGAAACATACATAGTTTGTGAACAGTTATCCTATCTCTATTGTTTTCTAGGAAATAATAATTTCTTTTTGGCTGCGTATGTATGAGAAGAGCAGACTTCTATAAGTTCTGAATCAATTTGATTTATCTCTTGAAATTTTTTATCTAATAAACCGTATTTGACCAATAGAAACCTCAATTTGAATTTTCCAACTTTTCTTATACCAATATTGTTAAATATAAATTTGTAACAATTTCTGGAAACCATGAATACTTTTTCACTATTAACCATTTTTACATAGTCACCATCCAACAAAACCAGGTCGCAAACTTCTCCAAACTCATCCAATAAAATCACTTTAATAAATAATGAGTTTATATCAATGCTATCTATTGTTACACTTATAATGTTATGGCAATATAAATTTCTTTTGCTGGATTGTGTTGATTGCCTTCCAATAATAGATTGAGCCACAATTTTCATCTCATACATATCTATAAATCCCACCAATATTTATGTTTTTGCTAATATTTTGACTAATGTTTTTGTAATAATTTTACTATTTGGTTTTTCACAATAATTTGCAGTAAAAAAATAAGAAAAAACATGAATCTATTAAATATGGATTTTCATGACTTTTAAATGAATTTCCTGTTATATCACCCTGATCCTGATCCTGATCCTGATCCTGATCCAGGTTATTGTTCACCTAAAGCCAAAAATCTGTAATAAACATTTATCAATTTTGACCACTGAACGATTTCAACCAATAGCGTTTCATAAATTTGGACTGCAAATTTCTGCACTCTCCTGCCAGATAATTAAAAATGCGATTTTCTCAATTCGTTTTTGCGATTGTGTTTTTTTTTCCTCACTTTCACTGTCTGGATGATGAATAAGATAAGATAAGATCTATTTGACATGTCTAATAACCAGTTTAATTCTGAATTTCCAATAGTTCTAGTGAAAAACCTACCTTATGAAGTCACAACACAGGAGTTGTACGACTTGTTCAATAAGTTTGGAAACATCATTGAAGTTAGAAAAGGAATAGAAAATCATTTAAAGGGAAACTGTTTTGTTGTATATTCAGATCTCAAATCAGCTAAATCGTGTTTAGAGAACCTTAATGGCTTTAATTTTAAATCAAGATATTTGGTTGCTTTGTTATATCAGATAGACAGTCATAAAATAAACGATATTAAAAATGAATTAATCCAAGTAAATAATAAAAGTATTCATACAAAATAGAATAAAATAGGGTTTACTATTATAAAATATTTTCGGAAAGAATATATATTTTTTTGTATGTGATATGCTAATGATAAAAAATAAAAAGAATAATAAATATAAATATACGGTATATAGTATATAGTACAACGCAGTAGATAGTATTGTTAATTTAGAAACTCATAGGTTATGAATGAAATCTCTTCTAAGTAGATCTTTGACTTGCAATTGCATTATACTTCCTGGATGAATAAACATTAATGATGCCACTATCAATAGAACTTAAAGTTACACCATGCTGAGCTGGGAGAATTCTCACAAGACTGAACCTAACTCTATATGAACCACTCCTTTTGATACCAATTGAATTAAAAGTAAAAATGCAAGAAGAAGAATTAGCATCTTTTCCATTGCCATATCCAACAATTTTAACACCATCCAAAATAGTTTGATCTTGGTAAATATTACCATTAACATCTAGCAAACAAGCATAAATGGCTAAATATTGTCTGTGTGGATCATATAATATGTTTCCTTGAATATCAACACATGAAGCTTCAATAATAAAATTTCCTCTTAGATATCTCGTTGCAGCATTTGTTGATTGTCTGCCAATTGATGGCTGATTGAGAATCCGTATTTTATAAGACATCTTTTCTTAAAGATTTATTAATTTTTGAATTTTTTATAGTTGAATTATCTTAGTTAGTTTAATCTTGTTTTTATCAGACATTAAAACAATAGAAAGAAAGCATTAGATTGAGAAGATCATCCTTTATTTAAATATATTTCAACCAAACAATAGAAACCATAATTATTAAAAATCTAAAAATAAATAATATTCTCTGATAATAATTTTTGTTTCTTTCTCATTTCAATTAACCATATTTTAATAATACAATTACAAGAATTGTCAGAATTTTTCATTATGACTGTGTCATATTTACTATTTTGAGAATTTCCATGATGCTAATATTTTTTTTTAGTTGTTAAATAGAAAACAATTCATAAACCTAGTATCAAGAGACAAAAGAGTTGAGTAATCAATTGTTGGACAATTAATTATTGTGCAAATGACTGTTTTTTTATTTGAAATCATTCTATTGATAAGAAGCATATTAACCTGAATAGGTCTAACACCAGTAACAAAGATTGCAACAACTTTGTTAAATATACAAAAAACAAAAATAAAAAGATCATACTGATCTAGTTTATTCGTCAAATTTTAAAGTTATATAAAATTCAAGTTATATGATCTCAAAAAAATAATAGAAATGTACCAGAATAGTTGTTGAAGCACAATAAATACACTAGAAAGCGACCTTTCAGTGGTTCTCAGTTGTCTTCGAGTGGTCTTCAAGTGGCTCACTGTTCCATTACAACACAGAGTCCATCCATAATTCAGTAAGATTGAAATCAAACATAGCCAATAAATAGATCAATTTTCTTTGGTTATAAAAAGAATAATAAGATAATTTCCAGTCAAACGCCATATCCAATCGTTATTGTTTCTGAATCATTCAAAACTACAAAGTATAACGTCAGTGGATGTTAAAAAAAAATTTAGAACAATGAAAATGCATAGACCCACAGCTGGGTGTAAAGATTCAGCGCTTTGACTTGAAAGTCATTCCATTTCTACAGCCCGCGGATGTCAAGCAATCACCAAATGGAGAGAGATAAAGCATTAGATTGAGATATAGAAGAAATAATACAAACACCAAAGAAAAATATTAAAAATATCACCAAAAGAAATAAAAATAACCTAAAACCTAAATATAGAAAGAAAATTTAAAAAACGTAAAGACCTCAACAGATGCATTTGAACCAAAGACTTTATAAAGAAATCACCATATCAAGAATTTTCCCAGGATGTTTCATGAAAATTAGCATCTCTCAAAATCTTATAACAATCAAATTATTAAAAGTAAAAAGAATAATGGAAATCTTGAACATCCAGTCGCAAATAAAAAACTAAACTGCGCCACATAATGAACAAATTTTTCATTACTCTTCAACTTTTAAAAAGTTATAAATTTGATAAAATGAAAACTAGCCAGGTATAAAATAACCAAAGAAAAAACAAGATTCATTTAATTACTCTAATAGACAAAAATCTTCAAACATTGACTCATAATTCGAGTTATTAGATGGAAATAAGTCAGAGAACAAATCAGCTGGCGCTGCGGGCCATTGCATTTTGATAAGGCTGAAATAACTATTGAGTTAAAACAACTTTTTTGAAATATGAAAAGATATAAACATTTAAACCTTTTCATTTACTAACGAGAAAGGATTAAATGAATATATCAATTCAAAAGTCAAGAAAGGGAATAAAACAACAGTGATGTTAAATCAACCATAAAAAAGAAATATAATCTTAGTGAAACCACTGCTGGGTTATGCAACCTGCTGATTTGCTCAAAGCTATTTATATTGTCATTAGGCAGTTGAGATGATAGTAAGTTATTAAATTCAAAATTATCGAATGAAGACAATTCGTTGTTGTAATTATTAAATTCAAACATATTAATGGTGTTGTTGTTGTTTAAGTTATTAGCAACTTCATCATTGATGATACTATAATTATTATAATTATTATTACTATTATTATCGCTATTATCATTAATGGAAACAATAGTATTGGAATTAAAGTTAGCTTCATTTAAAAACTTCTCATTAAATGATTTCAGATCGATTTTGTCAAATATTAATTTTGGAGAACGTAAATTTAATAGATCATTGCTAACAGAAAGATTGTCATCAAAATCTGGAGTGGTTGAGCTAGAAATTGAATGAAAGTTGGATGAAGTTGAAGAGACAGAAGGAACAGGAAGATTAGAAACATTAGAAATATTAGAAATATTAGAAATATTAGAAATATTAGTTAAATCACAACAATTATCAGAGGCCAAATTAATTAAATTATCTAAAATAGAATTGGCTTGAACATTGTTGGACAAATTTTCATTTTTTTTTTTATCATTTTCCGAATTTACTTGTGATTCACTAGAGCCATTGGAATTTGAAGTATTAAGATTTTGCTGGATCAGAATTTGTGGGATATCAGTAGAGATGGAAGTACTATTGTCAGAAATTAAAGAAGAGATTCTGTAATCCAAATTAATTTCGGATAAAATAGATGTATCGATATCATCAACAAGGCCACCTAATTGGGATATTCTATCGATAAGTTGTTTGTTCAATTCTAACAATCTCATTTGATTCTTTTGATAGTTCTCGACAACTAAATTTAATTTATTTAAGTTGTTGGTAAGGCTTTCAACATATCTTCTTTTTTTCTCACGAGAAGCATGAGCTGCTTTCCTATTACGTAAAATTCTTTGAATTCGACGTTGTTCTTTCTCTTCATCAGTTTTTGCACGCTTTCTTGGAGGAAGTGTTGTTTTGAAGTTTTCAATGTCAATGTCCAAGCTGTTGATTTTAGATACTCTCGAAGCCATGTTGAAAAGACGTGAATCCAGAAGTGCGAGTGTGGACAATTAAAAAAATAGCAGCTTTTCCGCAGCGACAACACCTTTATATACGCTACGCTGATGCCACGTCGCCCTTGCTAAAAAAAGAAGCTCAGCCCCAACAGAAACACCGCTCAGGCCGCAAACAACATCCAAATAATATGCAGCATCGTTTTGACTGGTTTTAAATTAAAATGCATATAATTGCTGGTTCCATGGATGTGGTGGAGACCAATTTAATGGATGTAAAACCGGGACTGTTTACTATTTTCCTTTTTAGGCAAAATACCTGATTGGGACTCGCAAAAAGGGTAACTGCCCTGCTATCTACATCACCGACGCGGTGGTAAGGGAGGTGGTGATGGTGATACTGGGCCATAGAAAAGAGGACTTCCATACAACTAATAGCCCAAAGTAAGGGCAAAGAGTCAAGCTGCCAGATATCACACACAAAGAGATACTGTACCACATTAAGAGCTGCCTGTGCGATCAATACAATGTTCAGCAGTACTAACGCAAATCATGCTATATTAAAAACTCCTCCCAGAAACACCTTGATACCACTAAAAAATCCAGATTATCTACTCCATGATTCCAATGAATTAAAGAGTAGCACTAACAATTCTGATAATGCCGACAATCCCAATAATATAATATTGTTGAGTCCCGAATATTCACCAAAAAAAAGAATATTGAACACAAAGAATGATATAATCCATTATGATAAAAATCTAAATAAAAGAAAAATATTTCCTATCAAAAAATCAAAAATTGGAATGGGTCATTTTACCCCGAATTTTAAGAGTAAGTTAAAATTCAACACCAATATTAAATTCAGCTATCCCATTACCCCAACGACAAATAAAAAAGAACACAATAATCCCTACAAAGATATAGACAATGACGATAACATTGGTTTAGATTTGTCAAAAAATTTGCTTGATCCGATCAATGATAAACATATTAAAACTCCAAATGATAGGATCATTGATAAAAAATCTCTTAATCTCAACAACAATAATGATAGTTTTGATCACAGCTTTAACAATTATGGTAATCTTTTTGACCCAAATGAGGAGTTATTATTAATCAACAGGAAAGGAGAAAAATTCATTAAAAAACTAACTAGTCGAGAAAAAAAAATTAAACCGAAAAACTTACTAAACCAGTTATTAAAAGCGCGCGACGACGACGACGATGATGATGATGATGATGATGATGATGATGATGATGATGATGATGATGATGATTATAGAAATGAAGTAAATCCCAACAATATTGTTAATAATAGTAGTGAGGATATTAAACAACTTGGATTTAAATTAAATACTCAATTCGATGAAATCGATGAACAGTTGGGAATAGGAATGACTATTGAAGAAATTTTTCAAAATAAAAATCCAAAATCGAGCAGACGGATCTTAGTATTTAAAGATAAAAACTCAGACTCAAATTCTGAATCTGAATCTGAATCTGATGATGACGAATAGTATTTGAAATATTACCGCCAATAGATTACCCAATACGCTTGAGTATCCATATTCATTTATTTTTATTAATAAGCTTTGTTGTGCTATATTATATTTTTCGCTGATTTCCTTCACATATCCTCTGTTTTCTCTTTATTTTTAATTTTCTTAATAGAAACCACCAGATTGGGCTATGTATTTTGTGTGCCTGGACAGCGTAGGAGAAGCGTTGTGCTACATGATCCACCACAACGGGTGCTATCTACAAAGAAGGTTCTAGAATCTTCTTTTCTTCCCTATCAAAAATTGTCTTGCTATCCCAAACAATATAAGAGGATCTGTTTCATGAAAAATGTTGATTGAACTGAATCTCTTACACTTTTATTTTATTATTTTTTTCTTGTTGACTTTTTTTGTTTTATTTATCATTATATCAATAACAATATTCTAATCATGGTTAAGGAAACGAAATTATACACTTTACTCGGGGTTTCGCCAGATGCAACTGAAAATGATTTGAAAAAGGGTTACAGAAAAATGGCATTAAAATATCATCCAGATAAACCAACCGGCAATACTGAAAAATTTAAAGAAATAAGTGAAGCCTTTGATATTTTAAATGATAAAAACAAGAGACAAATCTACGATCTATATGGGTTAGAAGCTGTAAGACATGGTGGTCCAATTCCAACCGGTAATGCACAAGCCAATGGTTCCTCTGGTGGATTTTCTGGTGGATTCCCCTTTAATGGTGCGTCAGGAATGCCAGGAGGAACTTCGTCTTTTTCGTTCACTTCAACTGGATCTGATCCAGGGTTTTCAAGTAATGATGCTTTTAACATATATCGACAATTTTTTGGTGGTTCAGGGGGCATGAATGGCATGGATGATTTTGGGGCAAGCAGTTTTTCCTCCTCCTCTCCATCAGGCAATTTTCCATTCAATCGTCCATCTAATAGCAATAATAATAATAATAATAACAATAATAACAATAATAATATTTTTTCCAAGAGATCAGTAAATAGATCGGCTGAAACAATTGAATTGAAATTGCCTTGTTCATTAGAGGAATTATCAAAGGGAGGAATCAAAAAAATGAAAATTAATAGAAAAGGGCCTCATAACGAAAAGGAAACTAATATTATATCAGTAAACATAACACCTGGCTGGAAAGCTGGTACGAAAATAACATATCCAAATGAGGGAGACTATACTATTCATGGAAGACAAGATATTAAGTTTGTTATTGTGGAAAAGCCACATCCTATTTTCCAAAGAGATAATAATGATTTGATATTGAATTTGGATTTGACGTTGAAAGAAGCATTATTGGGATTTAAAAAACAAGTCAAGCTATTAGATGGGAGAATAATTTCAATTGTAAAAACCCAGCCAATTAACCCAGCTTTAAAAGAAACATATCCTGATTTGGGTATGCCAATTAGTAAAAAACCTGGAGAAAGGGGTAATTTGATTGTTCAATTTAGAGTTAATTATCCATCAAATTTGACGTCGAATCAAAAAAACGCGATTGCAAATAATTTTTAGCAAAGGAATAGTATAGAGATTTTGATTTCAATTTCAATTTAGTTATTTAATTCAATTTAATTTAATTTAATTTTATTTAATTTGTTTTATTTTTATTTTTATTGTTATTTTTGTTTTTTTTTTGTTTTTATGAAATTGATCGTTAAATTTTAATTGTAATTTATAATTTTAATTTACAATTGAGATTGAATTATGTTTTAACTTATTATTATTATTATTATTATTATTATTATTATTATTATTATTATTATTATTATTATTATTATTATTATTATTATTATTATTATTATTATTATTATTATTATTATTATTATTATTATTATTATTATTATTATTGTAAAACTAATAGTATTTTTAGTTGTAACTTATAAATGTATATATTAAAACAAAATAATAAGAAAAGTATATAATCTAAATCAAACTTTTTTTGAGATGTTTGAGCGCAATGGAGAAGGAGAGTAGCCAGTGGTCTTTGAGACGTCTATGTTGACGTATTCATTTACCTTTGCAGCCATGCCACCTTTGACTCTTTTAACTGCTCTCGATTTCTTTGAGCCCTTTTTCTTGTAGACCTCAATGTAAAAAGCAATGAATAAGAACAAGTAGGAGCTTAAGATGCAACAACCCCAGACAGCGGCATTAGTTGAACCAGCACAATCAGCACAGTAGGGAAGAGTGTCTTTGAAGTAGGTAAAGGCTACTTTTTGATAAGAAGCAAAGTAAACAAAAATTAAGTCTAGGATGAATTGAATAATTTGGAATCTTGTGACCCATTCCTTCCACCAAACTTTATAGCCAGTTGAAGTTAAAAAGTAGTACCAGTACATTAGACAATGGACGGATAAATTCAAGGAGATGGGAACCCAGGAGATGGGAGTTTCACCTATTAGCTGAGTGAAACATAGGAGAGCAGTTGCGCCATGGTGATAGGTGTGTAGAAAGGTTAATTTTTTCTGTTTGACGACTAGGAAAAAGGTGTCAATAAACTCAATGAATTTAGTGAGGTAGTTTAGGTAGTAGAGAGTGATTAGAGGTTGGGTCCAAGAGTTTATGTTACAGATGGAATAGAAGAGGCCATTTTTAAAGATGATTGGGACTAGTTGTTCGACAATTAGGATTAGTAGGATGAAGGAGATTGAAGTTAGAATTAGGTTGTGTAGTTGGAATAAGAGGGATAGTTTTAAAGGTTTGAAGGAATTTTTTTTCAAGTAGTAGCTGCCACCAAAGATTATGAAATAGTATAGAGAGATGGAGGATAGAACTATGGGTAGGGTTGATAGAAGCTGATTGCCAGGAACGAAGACAAACTTTGAAGGAACAAACTTGTTGAAAGTTACAAGAGAGATTATTGAATCAAAATGGTCCCATAAATTGATACCAAAGGGATTATCTATAGATGGAATTGGATAATTCATTTTGAAATTAAAAAATAGATTTCAAAACAATATTGATAATTAGAGGAAGAAGAAGTAGAAGAAGTAGAAGTAGTAGAATGAGATAATTATATAAGTAATAAAATAAAATACAGAGTAGATTATTGAATTAAAAAGAGAAGAAGGCCAGAAGCGAAGAAAAGTGGATAACGAGAGACTGTGAAATAGAAGGGAATTGGGGGAGAAAGGAGAAAGAAAGAACAGATATAGTGTTGGTAGAGTTATAATATAAGCAATGATGTATTGTTGCAAGAAGTGAAAGAGAACAGAGCAATAGAAACAAAAATGAGAGAAGAGTGGAAGTGGATGGTATATAAGGTCAATATGGCCTCTATGGCCGCTATGGAGATGAAAACAAGTCACTAAGAATAACATTTAAGGTTTTACTTTTGTGATCATGGAAATTCAAAAAGCGAGCGCAGGTTGGAAAAAGAGAAGAGGAATGTGGAAAAAGAATGCAAGCGAATAAAGAGCGAATAAAGAGCGAATAAAGAGCGTTTTGACGCAGGTTTCGACCAGCAATGGAAGCAGGAGCTGGAAATGGCTAGGAAGAAAGCAGGAAAAGGAGCAGCAAGAGAAAACAGCTGGCGAGGAGAGACCTGGGAGAGGCGTGTGAGCGAGCAGCAGAGGAGAGGTTGCGGATGGTGGAGAGGTTGTTGTACTCGTAGACAGCATCACAGTAGGGCCTCTTGAAAGCAGCAAGGTCAGTAGAGGCAGCAGAGGAAGCGCAGAAAGAGCATTTGTAGAGCAGGCCCCAAAAGTCTGTGTCGTCGAGCGAACAAACACACGAGAGAAAGTCTACAGAGTCGAGGTATACATGGCTGCTGTCGATGTTGCTGTCATACGTCTCGAAGGAACCACAAGAGTTTAGGAGAGTGGTGTTTGCGTCAAGACAATAGGATTGAGACTGGGAGCATGAAGCATATGCTGTAGAGTTGGAGAGGGAGATGGAGGCCATTTTGAACAAGGAGATTGAACGAGAGAGGTGCAGTTGTGAATGAGTGAGTTGTCTACAGCGATTAGAACATTTGGGATATATTTTGGATTGTAGACAGTTGATAGATGGTAGATGTAATCTGAAGGTGATCTGACGGAAATTTGAGAAGCAGTGCAGAAATTAAGTTTGGGTTTGGAAAATGAGAAAACCATGTGAAAAACTGCCTGTAAACAATCACGCTCCAACAATGCCTCTGTTTTTGTTGCAGCCTTAATTCTCCCTCTTCGTTATCAGATTAGCTGTCAGTTCTAACCGCCAGACTCCACAAATAACCAAAAAGCCAGCGAGCAAGGACAGAAGCAAATGGTGTTGGAAATGATGCAACTGCTGGTGTTTGTGAGACTAGTGTGTTTTGTTGTGTGGATGTGCAGCCTTCAGATGGTAAGGTGCGAAGAGGATCAAGAAGGGTACGGGAACCGAGCGTTGTTCCAGTTGGACTCTGCGTTGAGCGTGGTGAACCCATATTACTTTGAGCTGGGGGAGGTGATGAGCAGGTTTGCCCTTGAGATGCTCCGGCACCACAACCAGAAGCGACAGTTGCACCAGGATGTGCCGGACCTAGTGTGGAACCAGACAGTGTACGACTTTGCTCAGAGCTACGCCGACAGCTACGGCTGTCCGGAGGACTTGGAGTTGGTGCACTCTATGTCGGCAGACTACGGCGAGAACTTGGCGGCAGGCTTTCGGAACGTGTCGGCGGTGGTAGATGTTTGGTACGACGAAATTGCCGACTTCGACTACAGCCGCATGGACGAGTACGACGACGGCTCGTTGCTTAAGAACGTCGATCCAGAACGGCCCATCGGCCACTTCACGCAGCTCATTTGGAAGAGCACCACGCAGCTTGGATGTGCGTACAAGCGGTGCGCACGCTACCTCTACTACACGTGCAACTACTACCCGGCCGGCAATCTTCGGATTGTCGGTGGGCACTCGTACACGGCCAACATCGCGGCCTTGCGGTGATGGCCTTCTCTCCTCTTGCTCCTGCTCCTGCTGCTCTTGCTACTTGTTCTTCCACATTCAAGGGCTCGCCCTGCTTTCGAACCGGCCCTGTGCAAATCGTCCCGGTGAGTCATCTTTACTGGCTATAGCACTGCTTTTCAACTTCTGGAAAATATGTCATCTGCATGGAAGCTGTTGCTTCTTTTCTTCTTTCTTCGGTTTCTTCTCTTTCTGCTGCGAAAAAGGGCTTTTCTATCTCCCCCATATAGCCCGTTCTCGTGTCGAGAACAGCGTGCTGTGCGTCATAATTCCCTCTACATCTGGGCTCTTGCTACGCCGCTCAGCCAAATCCTCCTTCGCTGAGCTACTCTTTTGAACTTTCACAGCATGTCCTCCCTCTTGCATTGGGATCTCTTTTTTCTTTCCATCGATTCGGTTTTGTTCGCCTTTTTTTATTTTTCACAGCCAATCTTCACTCATCCATCCTCTTTTACCTTCATCGACATACTTTTCTTATTTCACGTCTTATTTTTTGCTTTCTTTCCATTTCTACTTCATTTTCTATTCTTCTTTATCTCTATCTTCATCTTATTCAAATTGTATTCAAATCTTATTCTTTCCAATATTGTTTATTTTTAAACCATATAATCATATTTAATTGTCATCGTACATATTCGATTTTTCCATCATGTAATTAGCCTTATTTTTCTTTTCTATATAAACAATTCACTCTCATTGTCTTTTTCTCTATTCATTATCAATCACCTTCTTTCATTATTTCACTTCATTTCATTTCATCATTATCATCATCATCATCATCTTTAATCTTATTTAGCTACATCACATTTTTATATCTTATATCTAGTTAATAGGGATCACCTTTCAATGTTGTTAATGACTTCAAATCAGTTTCCTTCAAATTTAGATTTTCTCAATTTACCTCTATCTTTAAATTATAATAATAATAATAATAACAACAACAACAACAACAATGTCATCCAAAATAACTATAACCAAAATAATTATAATCAAAATAACTATAACCAAAATAATTATAATCAAAATAACTATAACCAAGATAACATCACAATTAACACAAACATCAATAACTCAATCGATAATATAAGCACCCTCTCTTCTCCTTACTCTCCTTACCTAATACCCCACCAATACGACAAATTTTCAATTAATCACTTGCCAAATAACCTCTCCACAAACCGAAATTCCATCCATCCCATCCCATCTCCAAACTACTACTACAACCTATCTTTCAAACAATGCTCCACCAATGCAAGACCTTCCGGCAACTCCTCAAAGAGAAAACTAAAACCAGGCACAATTGTCCTTTTAGACACAAATGATATCTTCGACGCCTCCACAGAATACTACGTAATCGCTGAAATAGAAGAACATACAAATCAATCCACTTCAGCTAACGACAACATTTCAATTCTTGGTTCCCCTTACTCTCCTTCTCCCTCCTCTACCACAAATACTTCTTCTTTCATCTCCAATAACATCCAAAATGAATTAATTGGCAATAAAAGTGTATCTGGAATTTTCAATAAACTAAACAAAAATTTCGAATTTAATTTCGATCATTTGGGTATCAAACATTGTGGCGAATACGTTCTACTCTTTTATCTTTATAAAAGATACAACAGAAACTTCAATCTAATTAATTCAATCAAATCAAAAAAAATCATCATCTCCGATTCAAGAAATAATAGGTTTAATTCAATTGATTCAAACAACTCAACCGACTCAAAAAACAACTCTCCAGATTTAAATTCAAGTAACTCCACTTTGATTATTAACAATTCCTACAAAATAAAAAAAAAAATCTTAAAATCTAATCTTAAATCAAATCCTATTAATTGTAACTCCAATTCTAATGATATCAATACCTCTAATCTCAAAAAATTGCAAAAATTACAAACATTAAAAAATTTGCAAAATTTGGAGAATCTACAAAAATTGCAACCAAACTCAAATACTTGTCCAAATGATTCAAACGATTCAAATAATTTTGATATTGGTATTGATATCAATATAAATAAATCATCTCAATCAAATCCCCAATTTTATTTGCCTAACACTACTCAACCTCAATCTCCGTTGACTTTAAATTACGACTATCCCGATATGCTATCAATAATCGATAACATTGATTTATCTCATTATCAAAATCTAAACAAAATGGATTTTGATGATTGGTTTCACTAATTGTTTAAATTTAATTTCTCTTTTTTTTTTTTTTTGTTAATGTTTGTTTTCCTTTGTTTTTTCTTTTGTTATTTTATTACTTCTTTCATATTCGGTTTTTTTTTCATTGTTCTATATTTTCTATTGATATTATTCTCTTCATTTGTTATCCCATTACCTAATCACTAATTTATATTTATTAATAAGGACTTAAATTAAAATTCAAAAACCAGCACTAGCTTTTGTATTTTGTATAATAAACATATACTACTTAATATTAAAAGGTAGTAAAGTTCAAACTGCAAAATTTCAGCAATTTAAAGTAGAATTTAAACGGTTTATCAGAAACTGATTGAATATAACATGAATATATTTTATTCGTTATCTATGTTTGATCCTTTTTGATTCCAATAATTACTACTGTTTGTAATAGTGAAAACAATAGCTCCAACTTTACTTGAACTGGGTTTTTTCTTTCATTCCACATTTCCTTCGTATGAGATTCAACGGACAAATTAGAAATGGCAGATATTATGACATTTTATTGGATTTGGTACATTGTTCCAAAAATTAGTTTTGGTTTCTAGAACCAATTACTATTTAATGGGTCAAGATCCTGATATTTTAGATATAAGGGGTTTTACTTAATATCCAATATCTAATATCTAATATCTAATATCTAATATCTAATATCTAATATCTATTATCTATTATCTAATATCTAATATCTAATATCTATTATCTATTATCTATTATCTATTACCTAACGCATTATGACTAAGAAAATAGTCGCAGTTGGTGAAGGTAATAGTGGAAAAACATGTTTAATTAATCGTTTCCTTCATAATAGATATGACCCAATAGACGGTCCAACAGTTGTTCATCGATATTTTCATAAAGAGGAGATAGCTAATAAAACGTACAATTTTGAGATTTGGGACACTGGTGGTCAAGAGGATTATGAGCGATTAAGGGTGTTATCCTATGCTGATGTAGACTTGTTCTTGATGTGTTATTCAATTAAAAATATTAATCTGATTATCGATGTGTTCACTATTTGGTTCCCTGAGATTAAATACCACAGTCCCATTAGTAATATTGTGTTAGTTGCTTGCAAAACAGACCTTCGAAGTGTTTCCAGAAGAGTCAGCACAATCAGCACCATCAAAGGAGAAGAAATGGCAAAAAAATTAAGAGTAAAGTACTTTGAGACGTCAAGCGTCACTGGAGATGGTGTTAATGAACTTTTCTGTGAAGTGTTTCGGATTCTTATTGCAGGCCGAAGAGCCAAAAAACTTCATTGTTCAATAATCTAGTCAAGTTTTTTCATATAAATGGATACTGACGGACATTGTTTTCAGTAATAATCTGTGTGATGATTTATTGATTATTTTTATAAAGGTTTTTTATTTTTTTTATTTTTGTTTTTTAGAATTAGTGTTGGAAAGTGGTGTGAATTTCACATTTGAAACAATGTTGAGTGATTGAAAGGGTGATTGAGATTTTATTTTTAGTATTTAGGATTAAGTAATTTTCTGAGTAAAGAGCGAAGGTTTTAACATTAAATGTTAGTTGATTTGATCTTGCAAGAAACAGTTTTTTGGGTTATCTATTCTTTTGGACAATAACTTGCAGCTGAGATGGTGAATTATGAAAAGTCTGGTTATTTGTGTTTGGTAGACTACACAATCCGAAGTTGAATCTTAGCCATTATTTTGTTTTCAAATTGATTCAAACAGATAAATGATGAACTCAACCTGCTTCCAGTTAAATAATTTGTATTTGAGCTTGAATTTGAGCTTTCATTTGCTAAGTAATCTCAAGAAATTAATTTTTTTTCACTTTCGTTTGCTTATATATTTTTAATTTTTAGTTACAAGTTTTTTGTTTTGTTTTACTTTCAAATCATTCCATAACCAGCAATCGATTCATCATTACAGAAGCGTTTTTTTTGGTTGACGATAACTTGCCCAGAATAAAATCAAGACTGAAAGAACAAACAATAAAGGGAAATTACTATGAGTGAAGCGCTATTGTAAAGATCTTAATTTGCATGTGAATGGCTTCCTTTAACCACATGATCACAGAAGCAGTTTCCGGATGCAGCTTTGACGTCATGCATAACAGCAACAAATAATAGCCTGTAGCGGGATCGAACTGTCGTTCTTCTTGTTGTTAGCACAGTGTCTTAACCCACTGGACCAAGAGACGATAAATGGAGCCTTTCGGATCTGCAACATGCAATTAAAATACATTATCACTATTTTTTTTTATATGGGTTTTTGTTGCTTGAAAATTTTTAAATTAAGGTTTTCCCTTTTTTGCACTTCTTTTGCTAACTGCTACTTTTTTGTTCTCAGCTAATTTCCATTCTTCTGTACCCTCTCTTTCTAGATTATACTCTCTTGATAATATTCAATATGGATAGAAAAATTTCTTCATCAAAGGCCAAAAGAGAAGCCAAGAGACTAGCCTCAGGCAAGAAACCAAAAAAGGAACGCACTTCCAAAAAATCTGCTACAATTGCTGAGAAATCTGAGGCAGAGATAATCAACGATTTATCCAATTTGGATTTGCAAAAGGATAAACATGGTCTTAGTGATCGAGTTACTACTGGTGTTTTGGATTCCTTGGAAACTTCAAGAGATATTAAACTATCCTCAATTTCTTTATTATTTCATGGAAAGGTTCTTATTTCCGATTCAAATTTAGAATTGAATTTTGGCAGAAGATATGGTTTATTAGGTGCTAATGGCTGTGGAAAATCAACTTTTTTAAAGAGTATTGCTGCAAGAGAGTTTCCAATACCTGAGTTCATTGATATTTATTTATTGAATCAACCCGCCATTGCTTCTGACTTCTCTGCTTTAGATTACGTTATTAATGAAGCTAAATTGGAATTAAAGAGATTAGAAGATTTATTAGAACATACACTAATCAACGATGGTCCAGAATCCCCAATTCTTGATGATTTATATGAAAGAATTGATGATTTAGATCCCTCTACTTTTCAATCAAGAGCCTCAGTAATTTTAATTGGTTTGGGATTTAACTCTAAAACTATATTAAAAAAAACTAAAGATATGTCTGGTGGTTGGAAAATGAGAGTTGCCCTTGCAAAAGCTTTGTTTGTTCAACCAACTTTGCTTCTATTAGATGACCCTACTGCTCATTTAGATCTTGAAGCCTGTGTTTGGTTAGAAGAATATCTTAAAAAATTTAATAAAATTTTGATTTTAGTTTCTCACTCTCAAGATTTTCTCAATGGTGTTTGTACGAATATCATTGATATGAAATTAAACAAGCTCTCGACTTTCACTGGTAATTATGACACTTTTGTCAAAACTAAAAATGAATTGGATACGAATCAAATGAAACAGTATTACAAGCAACAAGATGAAATCAATCATATTAAGAAATTCATTGCAAGTGCAGGTACTTACTCAAATTTAGTTCGACAAGCTAAATCGAGACAAAAAATTTTAGATAAAATGGAAGCCGATGGTTTAATTCAACCAGTTACTCAAGATAAAATTTTCTCTTTCAAATTTCCTGAGATCGAAAAATTGCCTCCTCCCGTTTTAAGTTTTGATAATATTTCTTTTTCTTACTCTGGAAATGCTGAGGATAACCTATTTAAAAATTTATCATTCGGTGTAGATATGGATTCAAGAATAGCATTAGTTGGTCCAAATGGTGTTGGTAAATCAACTTTATTAAAATTAATGACAGGTAAGTTACAGCCACAGTCTGGTAGAATATCCAAGCATACCCATTTAAAAATCGGTGTTTATTCCCAACATTCTGCTGATCAGTTAGATTTATCCAAAAATCCATTAGAATTTGTTAGAGATAAATTTTCTAATATTTCTCAAGATTTCCAGTATTGGAGACAGCAACTAGGAAGATTTGGTTTAACTGGAGAGGGTCAAACTTCTATTATGGCAACTCTATCTGAAGGTCAAAGATCAAGAGTAGTGTTTGCCTTGCTAGCTTTAGAATCTCCTAACATTCTATTGTTGGACGAACCAACTAATGGTTTGGATATCCCCACCATTGATTCATTGGCTGAAGCTATTAATTCATATAATGGTGGTGTTTGTGTGGTTTCACATGATTTCAGATTATTGAATAAAATTGCCAAAGACATTTTTGTGATTGAACATAAAACTGCAACAAAATGGGAAGGTTCAATTTTAGATTATAAGAAGAAGTTAGCGAAAAATATTGTTTTATAAGTAAACTTGGCTTTCAAAACATAATTCAGGCTTTATACATATAATAAATATAAAATTAAAAATTAAACATAAAAAAGCTGAAAAAAACAAACCGAAAACAAATATATATTTTTATCAATTGTTGATTTTACAATTAGCTATAATTTTTTTATTGGTGTGATCGTTGTCTTTTTAAAATTTCTCACATCTTATTGTGGTTATTGAACTTTGTTTTTTTTTTCGGAAACTGATTCTTCTAAGATTAGATCGAAATTATCAATTTTATGCTTTTTGTTATTAGCACCACTATTGTAGCTGTTGTTCCAAAAATCAGTTTTGTTCTCACCACTAAAAGCTTTGTTATTTATAAAAGTAATTCTTCTTTTGTGACGATTATGTATATTTTTAATATGTTCAAGTTTAGTAGAAGTAAAATATTCATAATTAAGGAAATTCCTTTCAAATGAACAAATTTCACGAATAAATTTGTCAAAATATATTTCATTACATGAAAGCTCAATAATTGAAAATTTCCTTGAAACAATGTAGTCTGTTAAAGTTAGATAAGAGATCGAGTTTTCCTTATCAGTCTTAAGAGCTTGAATTAGATAACACGTTGATGCTAATAACCATAAATAAGAATCATAGAATTGAATATCATCTTTGATTAGATTGTTTTTGAGAGATAAATGTTTAAAAGAGATATTTTTGGATAATATAACCGTCCCGAATACAGTGTAAGTGTGTTTTATCAAGTTGAACAAATTAATTAATATAATCAACCGTTTGTTAATATTTGATTGGTTCTCGCAACTATGGTCATGATTTGAAAGGTCATCCTTATCTACATTCAAGAAAATATTATTATCTAACAAATTCAAAGAGTTTAGAAGATTTGCAATATTCAATTCACTTAAAGTCAGTAAATTCTCAGCTTTGGCAAGAGAAATAGAACACTCAAATTTCATTCTTAAATCATCGAGAAAGCTGTTGAATTTTGAAGTGTAGTATTGCAAAAATTGGTAGTATTCCAGGTTTTCTGCATAGCAGCCAGGTGAATCGTAAGGATGCAAAAAAATAAACAATAACTCGTTCAAAACCTTATCAGGGCCGGTATCAGTATTAGTAAAGTCGATGCGATGACGAATTGTATCAAATATGTCTTCAAAGGGACAAGTACAAATAACCAATCTTATTTGTTCTTTAGCCATGAAACCTGATTGTAGTGTCAACTGATCGGCTAAAAAAAAGCCCGGAAGTATTTCCAACTGGAAAGGTAGTGCCATATGGAAAGGTTGTAAAAGTGCGATTTTGTGATGAGAAGATGGAAGTCTTTCTGATTATATCTGGTTCTGGAATCGGCAACAGTAGAAAAGCACATCAGCTGTGGGTTTGCACGAAGCAGGACACGGCCGGATGAAGTATTGCGGATTTGGAGACACGGATGATAAAGCACGGATTCAGCAAAAACAGAGCCCCACGTGCCTGTCTGTTTTTGTTTTGGAAAAAATTTCAAACTCTGGAATTGATTGAAGGATATTTGTCATTTATAGTTATTTTGCTCATCCAAACAATATTTTGTAAAGTGCAGGTTTAAAATATGGCTCAATTGTTTTCAAACGCAAGATCAGATACATTGTTTCTTGGAGGTGAAAAACTCAGTGGCAAAGATATTCGCAATCAGAATGTTTTAGCTACTCAATCCATCTCGAATATATTAAAATCAAGCTTAGGACCAATTGGTTTGGACAAGCTATTGGTCGATGATTTGAATGAAATAACTATAACTAACGACGGTTCAACTATTTTGAATTTATTGAATATCAATCACCCAATCTCAAAAATATTGATTGATCTCGCTAAAAAACAAGATTTAGAGATTGGTGATGGCACAACTTCAATTGTGCTAATTTGTTCTGAGCTATTAAAAAATGCCAACAATTTAATTAATTTAAATTTGCATCCAACGATTATAATCAATGGATATAAATTAGCATTGAAGGAGGCAATCAATTACATCAATACCAACTTATCTATTGATATTAATAATGGCAGTATTGATAATAGCAGTATGAGTAGAAATAATAATAGCGGCAGTAATACTAATAGCAACAATATCAACACTCTCAACACTGTCAACAGTATCAATAGCGGTAATAGCAGTGGTACACTCAAAAGCTTTGAGAATACCAAAAGTGATAAAACCAGAGACATTTTAATCAATGTTGCAAAGACTTCGTTGAATTCAAAGATTATTGGCTCATCGGATTTAGATTCAAATTTCTTTGCAAACTTAATTGTTTCATCAATCTTATCAATCAAAACTAAAACTTCACAAAATAAGTTCAAGTATCCTATTAATTCAATCAATATTTTGAAAGCACATGGAAAGTCAATGTTGGAGTCATTTTCGGTTAACGGATATGCTTTGAATTGCACAATTGCTTCACAGCAAATGCCAAAAAAAATAATCAATCCAAAGATTGCCTTATTAGATATTAATTTGCAAAAAACAAAACTAGCTTTGGGTGTTCAAATTCAAATTGATGATCCGAACAATTTGGAAAAAATCAGACAAATGGAAAAGGACTTGATTTTAAATAAAATCAATTTAATCCTAAAATCCGGTGCTAATGTCATTTTAACAACAAAGGGTATAGATGATCTATGCTTGAAGAAATTTGTTGAAAATAACTCAATTGCTGTAAGACGTTGTAATAAAATTGATTTGAAAAGAATTGCCAAGTTAACTGGGGGGAAATTAATTTCTAATTTATCGAATTTGGATGGTGAAGATTCATTTGATCCGTCATATCTTGGATCAGCCAAATCAATCGAACAAATTCGAATTAGTGATGATGAATTGATTCTTATTAATGGAACGTTGAAACATTCATCGAGCTCAATTATTTTACGAGGACCAAATGATTATACATTAGATGAGATTGAAAGAAGTTTGAATGATTCATTAAATGTGGTTAAAAGAGTATTAGAAAATGAGAAGATTGTTCCAGGTGGCGGGGCAGTTGAAACTGCATTAAACATTTATTTGGAGAATTTTGCCACCACTTTAAGCTCAAGGGAACAGTTGGCAATTGCCGAATTTGCAAATTCATTATTGGTTATTCCAAAAACATTATGTATTAATGCTGCAAAGGATTCAAATGATTTGGTTGGAAAATTGAGAAGTTATCATGCCAAATCTCAAAATTCATTGCCAAACGATTTCAAAAGGAAAAATTATAAAAATTATGGGTTGGATTTATTTAATGGTAAAATTCATGATGAATTTGAGAATGGTGTTATCGAGCCAACAATCAGTAAAGTTAAAAGTTTGAAGTCTGCGGTGGAAGCTTGTATTGCTATTTTGAGAATTGATACAATGATCAATGTTGATCCAGAACCACCAAAACAGGACCCTCATGACCACGAATAAAATTCATGATTATTTGATGATTGTTTGATGTCTATTTTATGGTTATAAATATTAGTCTTGAATCTCCATAGTCAAGACAGATATAGAATGAATGAACATAAAATAGTTTACTAGATAGCTTGGTAAGCAGATAATTTTTTTTTCAGGATCACACCATTATCAACATATGATATTATTAGGTCTAGTAGCAAATATATTTGATCCTACATCATTTGCAAATCAGTTTTGCAAATGATGTAGGAAAAGACAAGAACCAAAACTGCAGAAAAATAAGAGATCTGTAGATAGAGGTGTTCATGCATTGTTCCAGTGTGATGGAAGCTACTTAAAGAATCGTCTCATTTCTCACGTGCTCCGGAAAGTAATTTTCCAGCCAATTAAATCATTCACAGTTATATTACAAACTGGTTTTTGAAAGGATTGAAAAATTCAACTTTTTTTGCATGCATTTTAGAAAATTTAACTGTTAATTATATAACTACCTCAACAATCTCTTAATATTTGTTTGAAATATTTAGTGGTCAATTATAGATAATATTCTTTTCATCTAAATTTTGTTTATAATTATCTCGATAAGATGCTTGCTAAATCTTTAATCCTTAAATCGAACTCTTTGCCATTATCGAGAGCTTTTAATCATATTCGATTAAGTCATTCTTTATCGAATGCTACTGTTGCTGATTTAAATAAAAGATGGGAAGGTTTACCAAGCTCAGATCAAGAAGAAATTATTTTACAACTCAATGAAAGACAAAAGTTAAATTGGAAAGAATTAACACCAGAAGAAAAAAAAGCTGCATGGTATATTTCTTATGGTGAATGGGGACCAAGAAGACCAGTTCACCAAAAGGGCGATGGATTAAAAATCTTCGGCGGTGTTGTATTGGGATTAGGTATCGCTAGTGGGTTATTTGTTTTGTTTAGATTGAATGCTCCAGCTCAACCAAAGACAATGACAAGAGAATGGCAAGAAGCAAGTGATGAATATCTTAAGTCTAAAAACGCCAATCCTTTCACATCTTATTCACAAATCCAATCAAAATAAATTTAAAATTATTTTTTTGTTATTGCTACTATCATTCATTTATTGATTAACCGTTTTGTTTTGTGTTTAAATATAATTTTAATAAAAGAAATTTCTTTTTATCTAACTCAATCATTATTCTAGTTTATTTTTTTTTTTTTAATTCAATTTATAATATAATTTACTTCTAGTTCTCTATTTCATAAACAAACAATAAACAATTACATACAATTATACACAGCAAGCCTGGGAAGTAAAAGAAGAGCGATATTTGCAACTGTAAAGGAGTTTGAGCGTAATCCGGAATTCGAATTCAACCATTCAAACTCCGAGGGCCCGCTGGAATGGGATATAATATATCGAAGGGGGATGTACTAGAATTAATCCCTTCCAGGAAGGGGTCTCTGAATCTCAGACCCCTTTTTGTGTCCAAACTCTTCGAAACATTTTTCAGCAATTTTTTTGCGTCTCGAAACAAACCAGACAGTGCTGCTTTTGGTGGATCTGCTTCTCCAGATGGACGCTTCTGTTTTTGTTTTGGTCCATCAACATCTTGATGCACAGCAGACTGTGCAGATATTGGCCCATCTACTTGGGAACATTACTGCTCCGGGCTTGTCTTCTTTTTTGTCGCTATTTCAAAGCTGCTCGCAAAGAACCAACCCAGTCTCAGAGAGCGATATTGCTCATTTCAACGTTCTTTTAAAGAATCATTTTAACTATTTGATAAAGAACGATCAGTCAGATCTAACCAAATACTCCGATGTTATATTGGAATTGAATAATGTATCTCAATTTGACTCACTATTAGACACTATCCTACTCAGCTTGGATGACTTTTTGATTGGTTTCCACAAAAGATTTTCAGCAGTTCTACATGACTATGATATGAATGATATTAATATTGTCTTGAATTTACTAAGTTTTTTAAATGGATTGTTGGTTAATCTTTATCAAGATAACCAAAATTACAACAAGAATCTTTCAAACCTTTGTTTCAATAAATTGATTGATTTGTTATTGCTGTATTTTTCTATTGAAAATGACCAAGTATCTAATAAATCCATTAACATTATTTATCTATTATTTAAAAATAATAATATCAATCATCGAACTCTTAAAATTAGTCTTTGGGATTTTATGGTTAACATACTCACTAAGAAATCTTTTCATTCAAAACACACTTATACTTTATGGTTAAAATTGTTGCATACTAGTAACGATTTATTTTTATTGACCGAAGATTATTTATCTTTAATCAAATCGGGCTTGAAAAATAATTCCCATCAAATTAAGAAAATCTCTTTATCGATTTTAACTCTTTCAATAGAGAGATTCAGTGCAAATTTAGATAATGACAATATTTACTTTTGGAATAAATTTATAACTCTATATGAAATATTTATAATTGATACTTCTCTTCATCAAATTAAAAATAGCTTGCCTGATTTTTTTAGTCTTTTAGCAAACAATAATAATGATAAAAAGTACAATCATTGGCTATTAATTCTAATCGAATTAAATTTATTTTCCTCTCAAGATTCTGTTAGAAAATTTACTTTACATTTAATATTATCATTAGATCTGTTCAAGCTAAATTTACTATTTAATAGTGGAAATAAAAACAAATTGTTACTTCAATCTTTTTTGAATGACTCATTTCTTGATTATGCCATGATGGCGTCTCATTTTAACTGTTTCAAAGATTTAACAGATTTCACATCTTATTATTGCCCCTATGGTAAAAAGTTAATTCAATTTATTTCGAATGTGACATCTTTAAATTTTAATAATCTTAATGAAAAAAAACGAATAATTTATGTTTTTTTAAACAAAATAATTAATTTAAATTCTTCCTTTGATATTGCCAGAATTTATATCTTATTTGGATTATTTAATTCTTTGAAATATACCCAGAAAATTTTTTATATTGACGATTTAATGGTTTTTGAGCAATTATTTCAAAAAAATTTTCAAATTCGGTTATTAGAAACAATTAATCAATCCATCTTGTTGTCATTCGTCATCAATAATTTTAAACTTAATACCATCACTGAATTGGTTTTAATTTTGACAAGTTTCTTAAAATTTAATTCCACTAAATTTCATCATTATTATCAAAACAAATCATTATTTGGCTACCAAATTCTTTCAAATAATTTTGAATCGTTGTTAGATATAATATCGGTCAATTTTGATAAATCCCTTATTTTTGGTCAATACAAAGCTGTTTTTAGCAACAATCACATTGATTACAATCTAGAAGAAGACCATTTCACTCATGTCTTATTTTTGGTTATATCCTTGTCATTATTTAGCGATAAAATTGACTCAATAACTAATATTTTTTTGAAACACAAAAATTATTTAACTTATTTGGTATATTTGCCAAAATTACTGAATTTATTTCCAATTTTAAAAAAGTTTTTATCAAACAAACCACTTCAAATTCAATATCATAAACTTCTTAAAAATTTGTCTGATAATAGTATTAGGTCACAACATATTTGGAAAATTCTGCCAAACATCTTTGAACTCGATTATGAACTTATCAGTTTGGATAATAATCAAATTATCTTAAATACTTTATTTAAGAATTTAAACGAGGTTATCGATGAAGAATACTTGCTGTTTTCAGAATCCAATTTATCAAAATTTTGTTATCAATTAAAGTTTTTTCTGGTTTATTATTGTAATTCCATTTATTTAATTGATAATTCCGATCAATTATTTACTTCTATCGATGATTTATTATTATGGCTTAATAAAAGTAATAAACTTATTTCAAATTTCAAGAAAGAAGGTTCTATTAAAATATTTAATGAATTAAATTCAAGTACTCTTTCTTCAACGTTCAACATAATTAAGACATTTATCAAAGGTAATTTTATTGACAGAAATTGCTTTCTAAAGATTTTTAATTACATCATTGATAGTTTAAATTATTCAGATTATTTCTGCACCTTTGAGATTATTCATTTGATAAAATACATTATTGATGAAAATTTTCATAATAAAAAAAATCTATCTATAAATGAATATGAATTGGTTTTAAGTGAAATTTTATTAAAAATATGGTATTCATTAATCGAAGAACGCTTAAAATTAAATCAAAATGAATTAACATTGAAACTAATAAACCTAGTATTTTGTGATCTGTTTTTAAACTATAGCTTGATCAATCAAAATATTTCAAGTATTTTAAATAAAATCGCATTATCTATAATCAAGCACTCATTTTCAAGAAGGTCTTTATTACCAAACTTGTATAAGAGGCTACTAAAATATCAAATTAAATATCCAAGTTCCTTTTCAAATAATATAAGATTATTTCCTAATTTATTGATTAATGGATATTTATTTGATCAAATAAATTCAAATAATTTTAAGTTGGAAAAAATTGTAGCTGAAGTCTTTGATAGAAAAGTTGGAAATTTTAATTATTATGAAAAATATAGCAATAATAAGCATGATAAAATTGAAAATGAGTTGTACTATTCAATATATGGTGAAAATGAAATATCATCTAAAATATATCTTATGATAATAGTTTCATCAATTAAAGCCAATAGTAAGTTATCAAATCATTTATTTGATTCTATAATTGAGAATAATTTGAAACTAGTGAATAAAGAAGTGATTAAGTTTAATGATTTAAAAGAAGTTAAAAAGCGACTTAAATTGTACGAGATGCTTTTAATTTTAATTGGATTAAATTGTAATGAAAAGTTGATAAGATATGTCGATGAATTTTTTTTGATTTATTTAGAGAAGGAGATGAGTCCGTTGGTTAGGAGCTATGTTGAATGGATAATTTCAAAGATTCTTATAAATGATTACAATTTAAGTGATAAAATCAATGAGGAAAAAAAATTGATTTTAAAATATTTCAGGGATTTTAAAACAAGGGAAAATGAAATTTCGCTGACCATTTTAATTTCATTTTTGAAGATATTTTATTTGATTGCAAATCAATTAAATGAGGGTTTTTTTAGGCAATATTTTTTGCATAAAGAGTTTTTACCCTTATTATTAGGAAATTGCATTTCAAACAAGACAATAATTCGACATTTTTCAAATGAATTGGTTTATTTTTTATATGAAAAAAGTGGAATAAATGAGATTACCAATAGTGAAATTATTGGGAAAATTTATTCAAAACTAATAAAGGATGAAAATTTTCAAAAATATTCTCAAATTGATGGTATTTTATGGGATATTAATAAGGACTTTAATTTTATTGGAATTTGTGGGGAGGTTTTATTAAAGAATTTTAAAGAAACTAATATAGATTATATTAATGAGAAAAATTTTGAAAAATATTGCTGCAAAGATTTATTGAAAAACAGTTATATAGGGATTGGAAGTGAAACAAAAAGATTATGGATGTCCACTAGAATCAAAAATTTTGAGAATGAGAATAGTATTAAGACTGACATTGGTGTTTATTCAGAGTTTGATTTTGATTTTGATTTGAAAAATAAGATAAAGACAAATATCCAATTTGGTGAAAATTCAAATGAACTACAAACTAAAAGTGGGAACTGGGGTTTAATTAACATTGAGGATGAAAAAAAAGCCGTAAAAAGAAGTGAATTAATTGTTGTTGGGTCCTTGGTTGATAAAGCTCCAAATCTAGGAGGAATTTGTAGATTGTGTGAAGTGATGGGGGTGAAATATTTAACTATAAATGATATCAAAATGTTAAAGGATAAGGAGTTTAAAAGGGTTTCAGTTACCTCAGAGGAATGGCTTGATATCATTGAAGTAAAGGAAAAAGAAATCAGAAAATATATTCTAAATAAAAAACATCAAGAGGGATATACGTTAATCGGGTTAGAGCAAACAGACAATAGTTTTGAGTTAAATAGTCAATTGAAGTTTCCTAAAAAATCTTTAATATTAATTGGAAAAGAAAGAGAAGGCATTCCAGGAGAATTACTCTGTGAATTAGATTTTTGTGTGGAAATCAAACAAACTGGAATAATAAGATCGATGAACATTCAAACAGCCACCGCGATAGTTGTAAATGCCTACTCAATGGAACATTGTTACTAAAAGAGAAAAACGAAGAACATACATTCTATAGTTTTTTCGCATCTAGATTTTGCTTGAAATTTGTATAATTTACCTATGTGAACTAAATCTTAAATAAAATTCTTGTTTTAAACGAATTAAATAACTTTAAACCTAAGAAATCACGATGGTCGAGAAATATTTATTGGATTTTTCTGCTCATCGTTACCTTTTATTTACAAATTTTGTTGGAATATCAAAAGGCACAGAATTTAACCAGAGTGAATAAACAAAAAAATTATTGCTCTTCAGTTGAAAAGGAAGCCTTTATTGGCATCAAAATCATTGATATGTTCATGCTGAAAGAAATTTATAAAAACATGGTTTTAGGTAAACCAACAGCAAATTTAGCAAAAACTATGATAAAAAAAATCACAGAGTACTTTAATGGCTTCCCCTAATTAGGTCCAAGTTTTAGCCAATTTTTATCTGAGCTAGGCAATCCTATTGTTTGCGATTCAAATTACTGAAATGGTAATAGAATGATATTTTTCCATTCAACTGAATAAACATACTGATTTTATTGCACTAAATGAAAAGTGGCCTGTAGAATTGTTGGTGGAAGTTCGGTTCTAGGTTTATAACAACAAAATGAGTAGCTAGGAGCAACGGTTGTAGAAATTCTATCCTTTGATGCTTGTCATTTTTATGCTGTAAATTCTAAGTTGATTTGTGATTTTAAACACAATGGATTTTTGAACACCAGAAACAGAGATCATTCACCAAGTGAAAACAAAACACCAGGCCTAAAGGTGTTTGCGGTGATTAATCGGAGTTTGTTTACAGCAATTAACCTTAACGTGCTTTGCCAAGACTTTTTTAATACATTTAGTTTAAACGCCAAGCTTCTATTGTGACAAATGCATGCATCTGGTTGAGTGATGCACAGCTTCCCGGTTTATGACACCAACACACTTGGCTCTGGCTTCTCGGCCATTGAACCTCTATTGTCTTACTCCTTTGTTGACAGAACTGTAATCGCACTGCTGCTTGTTTATTATTTTTGGAAAGTATTAATAGTAAAGCACAATCAATAGACAAGTGAATTTATTTTTTATTTTATGTTAGTTTTGCTCTGGCAAATGTTTCACTTCACCTTGCTCTCGTATGATTCTTATTTTTTACAACTAATAGATTGTTTTCCGATTTCAAAGTTTACATATACTTGATACAACAGTTTTTAACAAGACAATCATTTTCTGGGATCTTTTATTTTGCAACATTTTGCCAATTAAAGTATTTGGTGCAACTAGTTTTCAATTAAGTTGTTTGTTAATCAAAAACACAGGAGTTTTATGATTGGGTAGAGGAAATATCAACAACAACAGACAACCTCTCATTTTAATGCAAATTTGACTGCTATTTATTATTTATTCAATTTACATTGAAAAATAAATGAAATTGTTTTAAAGAGTCTACGATAATTTGGTTTTTAGTAAACTAGTATCAATTAAATTAGAATAAAGAATTAGTTTTAAAAAAAAAAAGTTGCAAAAGAACTAAAATGAAAAAATTGAACTTCCAAAAACTAATAGAATAGACTTTGTAATTTGAAGTAAACTTTTCTACCAATTTGAAATTGGATTAAGAAGGTTGAAAAAGATAGAATATGATCATTTGACATTAAAAAAGATAAAATATTTCGTTAACTTTTGGATTCATTAAGATGGTTAAAGGTATATCTTTGGGACAGGATGTGAAAAGTAGAGAATAATCTCAGATAATCTATTTGGCATTGCCGTTACCATTTCCGTTGCCATTATTATTGCCATTCTTTCCACCAGGACCATTTTCATTACCGTTATAGTTACCATTGTAATTACCATTATAACCACCCCAGCCATTTTCGTTTCCATTGACATTTCCGTTATCGTTACCATTCTTTCCACCAGGACCATTTTCATTACCATTGTAGTTACCGTTGTAGTTACCATTGTAACCACCCCAGCCGTTATTGTTTCCATTAATATTACCATTGTCATTACCATTGTAACCACCCCAGCCGTTTTGGTTACCATTGACATTGCCGTTTTCGTTACCATTGTAACCACTACTGAAACCACGTTTGGCGTTTCCATTACCATTTCCGTTACCATTGTTATTACCATTGTGACCGCCTGCTCCATTGCCATTGCCGTTATAGTTACCATTGTTATTACCATTCTTTCCACCAGGACCATTTTCATTACCATTGTAATTACCATTATTATTACCATTGTAACCACCTGGCCCATTATCATTACCGTTATAATTACCATTGTAGTTACCATTGTAACCACCCCAGCCATTGTTGTTTCCATTGTAATTTCCATTCTCATTACCATTGTAACCACCCCAGCCGTTATTGTTTCCATTAATATTACCATTGTCATTACCATTGTAACCACCCCAGCCATTTTCGTTACCATTGACATTGCCGTTACCATTACCATTGTAACCCCCTTTGATATATTTGGAATACTCGTTATCTTTGTCATCTTTTTTATCTTTGTCATCTTTTTTATCTTTGTCATCTTTTTTATCTTTGTCATCTTTTTTATCTTTGTCATCTTTGTCATCTTTTTTATCTTTGTCATCTTTTTTATCTTTGTCATCTTTGTCATCTTTTTTATCTTTGTCATCTTTGTCATATTTTCCATGTTTGTCATCTTTTCCGTGTTTTTTGAAATCATCTTGAACTGTTAAATCTGGTTTAGCTTCGACTTTAGGCTCATCTGCAACAGCTAAAGCATTGGCTATCGCATCAGCTTGAGGAACAGGAATGGCATTAGCAGCAACAAGAAATGCAATGATAGAGTAAAGAACTTGAGTTTTTAACATCTTGAAAAAAATGAACTATTTTATGGCTGTGATTTTGTTTTTAGATTTCGTTTGCGATTAAAGCTGTAATTGATATATTTCTTTGGATTGAAGATAGTATGAGTTCAAGCAATTGAATTATCAGGAAAACTCACTGAATTTATAAAGAATTTCAAGCACAATAAATGGAAGCTTAGAGATTAACAAGAAATTAAAAATGAACTTGCTTCTTGATAGTAACCAATTTCAACAAAATAAAAAGAAACATCACTTATACTACTTCTTGTTTAATTTGCTTTATTAAAAATCATATAACAAATACAACAATATAGATATATTACTTTTCAGCATGTCCACAGTCCTAAAGATATTAGTGAAAGTCCAGAATGATAATGTAATATTGGGATGGTTGGCTAAAGAAATATTTGCAAGACACAGTTAATCTAGCAAATTGGCTCCAGGAAATACTATTGGTGAAA